CCCCGCCTGGGGGACGGCCCCTTTGCCCGGCGGGCCTCGTGCCACGTCAGCGTGTGGCAGCCAGCTGATAAGAGCGTTTTGCAGCCCCTGCTTACGAACGCAGAACAGCGCCGCTAACCCCGGAGCCTCCTGGTGCTGCAAAATTAGCTGAGGCCGATGACGTGCGGCATCCGCCCAAGGAGCGGTGGGGAGCCCCTGTCTGGAAGGAGACGGGGGGGAAAAACCACCCGGAGTTTGTAGCAGAAACGCCTGGTTGTTGAACGCGGTAGCCGGGCAGCGAGACCCTTCGGGGCGAGAGATGAGGCTTTAACCTCGCCTTGGAGGCATCTAGTTTTGTGGTGGGGAAGCTGGCAGTCTCGAAGGACATCCTGTCTCAGCGTGGCGAGGTCTATTCAGCAGCGCCTGGGGTCTGCCCGGAAGAGGGAGGCCTTACAATCGGTGAAACAAGCTACACCCATATGACAGCTGTGGGATAAGTCCCAGGGTCAAAATTTGGTAATGGAAAGTGCTGGCTTAGCCTGGCTCCTGCAATATCCTGAGCTGTTGGGTTTTGTTACTTTTTTAAAGATGGGGTCCTTAGCGCTTTCTGACAGCCTGCAGTTACAGAGGGTGTTTCTCCTGTATTCACCTACGGTTGAGTTTTTTAGCGCTCCCTTTTTCGGCAATGACAGAAAAGGGAGTTATTTTTCGCAGCGGTATTAAAAACTAGCAACTGGATCCTGGCCTATTCTGGAGCGCAAGCATAGGTGGTTTAAACCGGAGCAAGCGTCCTGCGGGTGCTGATGACTCTTCCTTTGCTTTTCAGCATGCACATCTCTGAAAGCCAGCAAGAGTTCTTCAGGATGCTCGATGAGAAAATTGAAAAGGTAGGACTCGAGATCAAGGCGGCGGGCGCGCGCGAGCTCGGCGCAGGCGTTAGGGACGTGCATGGGCTGCCTGGGCGAAGCGGGTGGTTTTTTTTAACGCATGGGACGCGCTGGGCGGTTCTTGCTGGATCTCCTGGTGGGAGCCGCCCGCAGCGGAGTTGAGGAGTACCGTGCCTGGAGGTGTGGGCAGCCCGGCCCCGAGATCTGTGCTGCGTAAAATGGTGATGCTGGAAATTCGTCAGAGAAGGGGGCTTTGCCTATCTCAGTGTCTCGAGAGCAGCTTTCATTTGTGGATCTTGGCGGTTTCCACCAGTCTCTTACCTGAGCATACTATTTCCCTGTGAGATGATAGAGAATTTTTACGTCACGCTGTAGATGGGAAACTGAGACATTCAGCAGTTAACTGGGCTGTTGGGTCACCTTGAGGAGAAGGCAGGAGAGACCTCTCTGCTCTGGGTTATACCTTGAACTATGTCCGCTCACCAGTGTTTTTATTTTTAGGTTTCGCATTTTGGAGCTGTGTACTTTATTTGAGATTTGATATTAAACATTTGCTTCCCCAAGCGGAATAAAGTAGTTCATACTCCCAGATGGTAACTTGGGATTGCAGAGAAGGAGGGGGATTTCTACTTGGACGGCTGTGAATTTCTGCCGTTTTTGCCCACATTGTTGGAGCGTTACACCGGCTAAATCTCTTATTTATCCCAAGCAACAGATTCGTTTTGCTTTTGTCAGATTTTTTTTTTTTTTTTTAGAGTATTAGAGACAAATATCTCAGTTCACCCAGACGGTATGCAGGGGGTAGGCTGTTCGGGGAGCTGTTGTCCTATCTGGAGCTGGATGTTTAAATTTCGAGGGGAGAAATACTGAAAAGGAATAGGTGGCAAAGCGAAGCATGCAACAGCTTCTTATGAGCGTAATCTATGCTCTTTTTATCCCGTTGGATTCCCTGGGTAATAACATTGCTTTGGTGTTTCTCCAGTTGAAAACATCTTCCCTTAAATGAAATTATCTAGGTTGCAACTAGGATCTTTCAGCTTTAGGTTTCGGTGTAGGTAGGTAGCGCGGGATCCGATAAAAGGGACGAGAGCGCGACGAGAAGAGTGAGGAGGAGTTTGCAGAGTCTCGAGAAGAGTATTTCTGTAGGAGTAGTTCACAGGAGTAAGTTTTTAGCCTACCCTGGGGCGCTCCTGTTATAGAGCTAATTCTCCTTCGAATAAACCCCTTCACCCTCTCAACGTTTAGACGGTCGTCACCTGCCGCCAACGGTCAGTGGTAGCGTCTCCGGTTGGCGTGGCTTTCCAGGAGACGACGCTGACCTCCGGACCAGGCGGCGTGGCGGGTGCGCCGGGCCTGGGTTGGCGTTCGTCCCCTTTTCTCGGTGCGCGCCAGGGCAGCGC